AATCTTTTACTGAACAATCCACTTTTTCTTGAATATAAATTGTCCAAGTCAATTCTGTTGATATTGATTGGATTTTTCATTGAGGATTGTATGAACCTTTGCAGTGATTGCCTATTGTCTTGGCAAAAGGATGCATTTTCACCATTACAGTCTGCCAGTGACAATTTTTTCCTTAATTTAGGAATTCCTATTTCTTTGAAAGGCCAGCTGGAAGCAGCCAAGGCATTACAGCACCTTCCTCAGCTGTTGGCCATGGGAATATGCATTCTCTCCAGAATATATATCTTTGGCAGGAAAAAGAAATAAGGAATCTTGGGTAACTGGTGTGCATGCCAAGTGTAAGGATTGTTATATTTAACACCTAGATTTCTTTCCCTGAAATTATGTCTAAAAGAAGTTCAAAAGTAGGACAAAATTCGAATAGGGTGGGTGGATCTCATTTGAAAGAAAAAAACCCTTCCTTTTCTTAAAAAAATAAAAAGTAAAAATAAGAAAAAAAAAAAAAGAAAAAGAAAAAGAAAAAGGCTCTTAACTATATTTATCCAAGATTTTTTTTTGTAATCTTTAACAGGAATGTTTTACATGTCTTGCTGCTTGAACGGTTTTACAGTACTTTTAGGAATATGTCCAAAATGCACAGATTAACAGCCACATAAAAAAAAAAAAAAAAACAACTAAAAAACCTCTGGCTGCGTATTAGAACATTTAGTCTAAACCTACAAACACAGTTGTCCTGCAGGAATTTTTGCTAATCATCTACATGGCCTTAAAGTGTAGGTCATCAAAACAGTCAAAATTAAAATGTAATTCACCACTGCAGAATAAAGTGTAGCGTGTGTAAGCGTGTACTTGGGAGGTGTGGGAGAAGAGCTATAGAAAAACATTCCCTATTCACTCATACTAGAAGATGTGGGTTGAAATAAACCTGAGATCTACTGAATATATGAAAGTTCATACAGATTGGAGTGGGCATTTTCTGAAAATTTTATTTAAATAAGCTTTACATATTTTTGTACTCATTTATATGTAACATACATACGTATGGAAAAATCAGTTTTGACAGATGGACAATATTATAATTTAATTTACAGCTTAGAATGTGAAGATGAAAGCATTGCTGGAAATTGAAAATCTTGTTACAGTTTTAAACTTGGAAACTGCACAGAACCTCTGCAGCCTTGACTACATACTATAAGTTCTGCATAAAATGTGATACATATCCAGTGAGCAGTATTTCCCTCAAGCTGAGCATTTTCAGTGAGTAAAATGTAGAAGTGAGACAAGGTTAGGAAACATTTGTGTGTGGAGCTTGAAACTAAAGATATGTATGTAATGAAGTGAGTTTCACAGTGAGGATCAGAGCTCTTGCTCCGCAGCGCATCTAGCTGGTTTGCAGAAATTGAGATGTCTTCTGGAGAAATTGGAATGAGTCTGTATATGTGCAGAGTCAAAAAGAAGGATGTTGTGGATATGATTTATCCCCCAGAATTAAGTGGCTTCTCTTGGTTATGTAAGCAGTTGGCTGTTGTGGGGGTAGCAAAAACTCAGGTGTATGACCAGTTCATGCAGACAAGCAGAAATCTCATTATCCCTGTCGCTAGCAAATGCCACTACTAAATGCCATACCTGAAGTATGTTTTCCCTAATTTTATACAGATAACATGGGATACCTGAAAATTTTCATTTTATTTTCAGGTTTTAAAATGACAAAAAGAGTTTATTTCCTCTGTTTGCATGTAGTCTATTTGTAAATTTTGCTAGAAGGTATTATATTTCATACTACTTTGAGCATAACAATATAGCAATGGTAAACTGATTAGTTTTCTGACCTTTGTTGTTGTTGTTGTGGCATCCAGTGAGTAGAATTCTAATTCTGAAGTCAGAAAGTCTGACACCATTGCAGATGATGATGTGTGAAGACAGTAAAGCACAACCTGATTATACAATGGAGTTTAAACATGTCTCCTTTCTCATAAGCTTATCAGGTTAGCTTTGAACATTTTAGATGACACATCAGTGTGTGTTCAAAGTCTTCCCTGATAATCTTTCAAGGCTTAATTAAATTTCTCAGTTTTATAAGATAATCATAAATACTAAGCTAGAATTTAGTACATTTCTATGAAAATTAGGTAAGATGAGAGGAAAATGGGAGAAGAGGGAGAAAAATAGTATGTTTCTTGCTTTGCCACATACTTTCTGTTTTTATTGAAACTTGTTATTTTTACTACCCTTCAAAGTCATTTTTCTGTTCTAAAATTTGTATGTTAGGTCATGCAAGACAGAAGTGAATTGTTTGGAAGTTGCATACCACTTTGCATGAAAACTACGCTGTAATGCTTCCCAGAGCTCTTTGAAATATCTTACAGTGGTTCAGTCATTAAGGGAATGTTAATTTGCCCCTTAAGATTTTAATACCCAAATTTTGCCAGTCTGTATAGAAATGAAGAGCCTGAGAGGGATTACCTGATTACCTGAGAGGGATGTCTGCTTGTTGTGGTTGACTCAGAGGCAGTAAAAGCTTTCAGGCCAGTGCTTGTGTGATAGAGATAAGATGAGGCTGCTGGCAGAGCACTTCTCTGCACTGGCACCTTCACAGGGGAGCATTGTTATGCATTGTCAGTTAGCAGATAAATCACTAGAACAGGCTCATCACCAGAAGTCCAGGCATCTTCAAATCCTCTTTTCACTTCCTGTCAGACTCCAGATGGCGAGGTTGCACTTGCTCATTTTAGGACAAACAAAAATAAAGGCAGATAAATTGCTTTTAAGAGATTGTATGTACCAGGTCCATCCTCCTGTCCTCCATCTCTGTAGGTGATAACAGATGCAAACGTACTGTGATTTCACAAACACTTTAGCTATGGTTACTAAACATGAAAATGCTTTACTGAAGGGAAAGAATACAATACTCTGTGCAAAATTACCCTACATTTTGTGATAGTCTTAAAAGAGTACCTTCATCTTGCCTTCATTTCCAGATTTGTCTTTTTTTTTTTTTTTTTTTTTTTAAAAAAAAAAAAAAAAAAGTTTACTATTCTGTTGTCTCTCATGCCAATCCACTAAAATACTCTGACGAGAAACCTATCTGAACTTGTGGAGAGAGGAATCCAACCAGTGGCTGGAATTTTATTAATGTTAAGATAAATGTTCTGGCCACCGTGGTTATTTAATTTTGATATCTTTATGTGTAATAATATCAGTTTATCATATATGCAATATTTGCCAGTATAGAAAGTCAAAGTGTTTTTAGCTGCACAGGAAAATGGTAGAGAATTCAAGAAAGTAAATTTTGCCTGAGTCTTCTTCTCACACAATTAAAAAGCAGCCTACTAAATTAGAAGTTGATGAGAGTCTTCTCTTTTGGGACAACTTCAGTACCTGCTGGATTTCCTCCTGCAATCAGTACAGTAGTTCACGTGTTAAGTTGTGATTACTACTGAATAGACAACTGTGTGTTTCTAATTGAATGTCTTTGCAAGCTTTGAACTGTGCAGGCAATATCTGATTAACTTTGTAAGTAATTGTAATAACTTTATTGACTTTGTGGTGTTACTCCTGATGCACAACTGTGAGAAGCAAAATCAAGTCCACTTAATACATCTGTAGAATGTCAGTGTTTAATGTGTTTTACAAGATGAAGTGTTGCTTTGGATCTTGTTGATACTTTTTGAAAACGCCCTCTAGATATATATCCCAGTCTCTTTTGCTGCTTTAGGAGTGGAACATGAGTCTAGCTCCTTTTAAGCCACGTAGTTCCTATTTGGAATGTGTAAATCTTTCCTTCTACCAACTTCTGCTTGTCACCCAAATGCACACAGATGGCAAAAGGGGTGGATAAAAACCCCTGTAGTGTTTCCTACACTCAAAATCTGTTATTTTACCAGAGGCTTAGTAAACCCTATTTCTCTATCTCCATCTTGAGAGGGAGGGTGGTTGAGAAAGTGCTGTTGTTATAGGATATGCTCCTTGTCTTTCTCTCTTATTTCAATACTTTTCCAGTTGCTTCATGACATCTCTAAAGAAAACATTTTATGAATATTTAACTACTATTTTTTTAAGAATAAAAATGTTTTCAGGATTATATGGGTATCGATGCATAAGTTGCTAGCCAGTGCTCATAAGATTCTTTGCAAGAAACTAATACTTGAAGATGATTTCTATTACAAACGTCTCCAAAAATGAATGAAATTTATAGATACGAGTCAAAATCAGTAGCACAGAGGAGCAAATCAAAGCTCTTTTTCTTTTTTTTTCAATGTACTTATAATCGAATGCAACCGAACATACACAAGTGGACAAACAATACTTTGTGTGTTGTGAAGTTTAATTCTTAGGAAGTCGGGGAAAAGGTTGATTTGCTACTTTGGGACAGGTTTTGTATGTGTTTGTAAAGTATTACTCAACTTATTCTATTTTGCTAAGATACTGTGATAAAAGTAGGACATTATTATTGTTATAGTACCTAACTTTTCTTTTTTCATTCACTTTGGAAACAAGCAGGGAAGGGTGATTAAAAGCTAAGTAGTGTCTCACTGATTGCATGTGTTTTATGTGTGATGTGTGAAAACTAAAAGGTGGGAAGTAAAAGCAGAAGGAGGCAAACACTTTTGCACTGGCAGAGGGAGTAATGGGTTATTTCAAAATGCTTCTCTCTGTCAGCATTTTCTACTGTTCCATCATTCTCACCTCCATTCTAACAGTATAGTAGAAAACAAACAAAGGAGAAAACCCTTTCTTCCTTCATGCATGTAGCTACATTTCACTTTCATCACTGACTGCAAAAATGGATTTTGGCAGACACAGCACACAAGAATCAATCTTTCAGTGATACTGCCATTTTGTTTATGTTTTTAAATGTATTTTTGTTAAGGTAATTGAATGGAAGGCAGTAATGTCAGATTGCAGTAAGAGCCATTGGCTTCAACTGGACTGGCATTTCACTTCATGTTTTGCAGGCAAAAATACCTTTCCAATGAATTTCTGTCTTCTGTGTGTTCCAGTGCTCTGTTACCTGTGGCAAAGGAATGCAGTCCCGAGTCATTCAGTGTATGCACAAGATTACGGGAAGGCATGGAAATGAATGTTTTTCTTCAGAAAAACCTGCAGCCTACAGACCCTGCCATCTCCACCCCTGCAATGAGAAAATTAATGTTAACACAATAACATCACCCAGGTTAGGTAAGCAGCCAAAATGACACCTTCGTACTGGGAATTTGTTGTTTTTTTGTTGTTTGTTTTGTTTTGTTTTGTTTTGTTTTTTGTTTTTTTGTTTTCTTCTCCATAGAGCAATGATAAATTTAAAACATAGGACTGAGATTCAGAAGATGCAAATTCTTTGCAGAGACTTCTTTCTCTACCTCACTTTTCCACTGTGTATATGAGAGACTGTACCTCAGGATGGTAAAGGATTTCATTATCCAGAGAAGGATTATATTATGAGACTGTGTGATATTATGAAATCAAGATATCCGGCATGAATACAAGTTTATTTTAGAGCTAAGAATTTGTTCCTTTATCCACTAAATTTTGTCAAACATTTCTAACGTAGGCAAATCCTTCATTTTCTTTTTAAAAACTCTGCACATCATGTTCTCATTGTATTTGTAAGATAATTTTTGTTTATTGTTCCTCAATGCAATTTTTTCTTTTTAATTCTCTTTAGTACACATTTCTATAATCTATGACTGATGCGCTAAAATATAAAAAAGAAAACTGCTAACAGAGCTTTACTGTTCCAGGAGAAACTGATGTCTCTGTTGGCTTAAAGAAATTATTTTACTGCATAAATGATCTGTTGATTCTTCTAATTGTCATTTCCTGATGGGGTGTTAATAGAGGTTACCATTAGCTCCCTGCAATGTTCATCTGCTTTTTGGGCATGACTGGGGCATTATTAAAAGTTTTCTGTTGGACAGCATATCTTTTCCAGATTATTTTCCAGGTCAGTAATCCTTCCTTTGAGTGAGGAAACAGCATTTATCTCTGAGGCTTTTAACTCTTAAACACTTCTGCATAGTAGTCATTGTTTTAGTTTGCTCAATGAGGTGACAGCTGTTGCTTACAGAACTTTCCTCAACTATTTTACTGCTGCCGTTCATACTTTGTTCAGCTGATCTCAGAGAAGCAAGAGGGCAGCTCTCCATCGCTGACACTCTCAATCCAGTAAAATGTCAGAGGCTTTGTTTCACAAAATTAAATGAACCACAAAGTTTCACAGAAAATGCATCTTTAGATTGGAATTACACTTTATGTGAAATTCACAAAACAAAAGGGCTATGTTGTTCTTGTAGAATGGGTTATAGAAATTAGTGGTAATCTACAAGTCCACTTCATGCAGCACGAGTCAGAATCCAGTCCCCTGGAAGTGCTAGAAGCTCCAAATTCATAAGCCAAAGCTTCACTTAAATATATTGATCATTTTCTCATCCACTTCATTTCCTACCATGCTGCATGGATCCTCTGGATCTGAGGGTAGGGCTGGTGGAAGGTGATGTGGGTTACACCATCTATCTCTATTCAGTTTTAAATATACTCCCACTTTCTCTTTGACTTCTACTAAAATGACTGACTTTCTTTCAGTTCAGTATTTATATTGATTATTGTATGACATGTGGTTCTTGTGCCCTGTATTTCCTTGGTTTCCCATACTAATTGCATAGATGCACTGTAGTTGGACTAACGCAGTGTATAAGTTTCCAAATTTGTTAGATGATTGACATAATAAAAGGCCTTGATAAGTGAAACAAATACGTGAAGTAAAAGATGACTTCAAAAGGAGAAAGACAATATATGTGAAAATATGACTAATTTTTAACAACTAGAATTATCAGGTGTCTGCATCTGAGAGTTAATGATAGCTAAAGAGAGCCATATAATGTGTAAGTGTTCCTGCTTTTCCCCATCTGCCTCTGATGAAAGCATTTCCCCTTGTAGATTTCACTGGGAACCACATTCTGTTACTATTAGAGCTGAGGCTTCTAATGGTAACATTCACCTGAGCACAGCTTCAGCCAGAACTGGCTCTGCAGCCCCTAACACCCTTGGATTCATCTCTAATAGAATTGGGCTTGCCTCTGTGTAGGGCAGAAATGTGCCTTAACTCTCTTGTGAGGAGGCAGCTGCATGACATGACACCAGTCACTTTCAGTGTGACTTGACTTAATCCAATTTATAAATTGAACTGGCCTTGAAATTTTATTGTTGAAAATATTGAAAAGAAGAGGACTTGTGAAAAACTAAAGCTGTCCTCCTTTCCCACCCATGGATACACTCTGCTATCCTGGTCATCTTTGTTACCCAATTCTTCACAATAAATGTAGTAGTTACGTGTATTTTTTGTTGTTGTTTCACAGCTGCTTTAACATTCAAGTGCCTGGGTGACCAGTGGCCTGTGTACTGCAGGGTGATACGAGAGAAGAACCTGTGTCAAGACATGAGGTGGTACCAGCGCTGCTGTGAGACATGCAGGGACTTCTATGCGCAGAAGATGCAACAAAGGAGTTGACCTCTGTCAGGCTGGCTGGCTCTCAGCTCTTTGCAATCTTATTATTTATAAGCACACATAGATGTACACACACACGCGTACACATACACACACATGCACGCTTTTTCAGACCAAATACTATGATTACGTATAATTTAATCAAATTTAATTTATTTTTGCCTGCCAGACATCCTTAATTGTTTTGGTTAGACAGCCAACTTGTTTTATCCTCTGAGATTTTCATAATTAATTTTTATATGAACAATTTGGGGTACATTTATCAGAAATTTTTTAAAGAATAGTAACTAGTATTTTAAATGTTTATTTTCAGTAGGGTCATCTCTCTGTTGCCAAAAGAAGCCACCATGTTATCTTGAATTTATTTTAATTTAGCTGAATAGTTTTGTTGTATATGGAATTAAAGCCTTTTTTAATTTTATTATATTTTTGGCAGAATGATCTTGTGTATTTTGCAACAGATGTTGAGGTGAGTAAGCTAACATTATTGAGCAGGCTATTACAGAATGTATTGTGAAATCAGTTCATTTGATTTGATTTAGAATCATGCTGTTGGGGATAATCTACTGTAACTTATACCTATTGTAAACAAGGAAATTAAAATAGAGAAGTAGTAGGAATTTTGATCATTCTCATGGACATGTACTTGAACACAAGTATTGAATCAATGAAACACTGTAGAGATTTACACTGAATCACTGTTGCACTGTTTGAGGTAGTGTAGAGAAATGCAGTCCTAGAAATTGTACCATCCTATGAATCCACGTCTGTACTGTTTAGCATGTCACTTGATTTTAAACGTTTAGAAACAAAAAACCCATGCCCCCCTATACCTTTGTGCTTCCTCTTGCAGATTTACAAATGGAAGTCCTTCCTCCTGCCATTTTTATGAATTAATCTTTTAAACATTTTCAGTTCTTTGTCAGTAATTTAGGAAATAGCTTTGTAATTTTACTTTAGCTTATCTTTGTTTTATGAAAAAGTCTTTATAAAAATAAAATGTTTTACAGTTTTGTGAAACGTTATGAAACAGCTAAAATTTTCCTTATGAGAAAATATTGTACATGATTCACATGACTTTTACATTTTCAATAAAAAGTGAAGCTTCTTTTGTTATTTGCATTTTTGTGGGTTTTGGCATCTGTGTCTGGTTGCAGAATCCGTTGAGCCCTGCATCGCAGCAGATACAGCTGCAGTAGTCTCTGCAGCACATGCCTCCATCCTCATGATTTAGGCTCTGTTCTAAGGCTACAGGCACATGTACTGCTCCATGATCATGATGCATGAAAAGCTGAATATAGCAGAGAGATATTCAGTGAAGAATTTAAGTATCTTAGGTGAGTTCTGTAACCACTGTAGGGTAGGTTCTCTGCCTCTGTTTTGCAGTGCAAACCATTGGCCCTGCTAGGAAAACACCCAGGAGAGCAAACTCTGAAGGAAAGACAACTGGAGAAATGAGTCTGAAAGGAGTAAGGAGTAACAAGACGTAATTAGTAATTGCCATAACGATTTAAGTCTCCCTAGAGACTTCAGGAAGGGCAACTATGGCCCTGCACTGAATTAACTGTAGTAGGCTTCACTGAGCATCGGACCTCTCTTTGGAAACTAGTGTGTGTTATATTAAAATAATTGTTTAACTTCTGAATTTTTGATTTTTGAGAAGTGAAAAAAAGCAGTGAAAAATTATTTGATGTCATGGAATGTGAAATTATGTGTTGTGTAATTAAATAGACGCATTGTGTTATAATGTACAGACAATTCAGTTGCTGTTGGATGTTAACTACTTAGTGTCCCTGATACAAATTTAAAATTCAATTAACAGAATTGTTGAAATTTGTAGGCAAAAAAAACCTCCAAACATTGTTTTCTTCCAGCATACTGAATACCTTGTCCTGGGTTACAAGCTTGGACCACAATCACAACTAAAATCCAAAGAGAAACCAAACCTCCAGACTAGAGGCCAGAGGGCTTTCTTTTTTCAGCCAATTGTATTATCCACACAATCCCACATGTTTACACTCTGCTTTTTTTGAGTATTTCACTAACAAAAATGACAACCTATCTCAAAATACGGAAGTACTCTGCCTATGTCTGTCAAAAAGGGACAACTGAATGATGCTTAAATCATCCTCCTTTCACAGCACCATAAAAGAAAAAGACCTCTAGATTGGAACCAGGGATGGAAAGTTGCTCAGCTGAATGACATTCCTTTTAAATGTAACAAGTGAATTCAGTGTTACAATCCTGATGGTTCTGGCTCTTCTTCAGATTTCTATTTCTAATACAGGACTATTAATTAGATGTGTGTGAATCATGTCAAAGAAATTCTGTGTTTACATAGCAAAAAATATTTGTTGCTTCCTACTCTCTTGGAATTTGAAAACAAGTTACTTTTCTTTTTGCTCCTTTCATACACGCAGTTATCATTCTGAGAAGCAGCATAGATTCACACGTTCATGCTGTGTGTAGGCTCAGTGTGCTTGCCTACGTTGCAGAGCCTTGCCACAGCCCAGGTGATGCCACAAGACCAGATGAGAGCAGCTATCCTTATCATAAAGTCATAGAATCACTGAATGGCTTAGGTTGGAGAGGAGTGTAAAGCCCACCCAATTCAAATCCCATGCCATGGGCAAAGCTGCCACCCGATCAGCCTGCCCAGAACATCCAACCCAGACTTAAACACCTCCAGTGATGGGGCATCCACAGCTTCGCTAGGCAGCCTTCTCTGGTCCTCCCAGTGGAGTTCAGGCAGCAACAGCGTGCTGCACTAGGGGAAGGCCCATTACTTTTTGGAGCTTTTTTTATTTTTTCCACCCAGCAACAATCCTTCTCCGCTCATATGTTTTTCTTCTGGCCCGACGAGTGAATTTCAATCAGTCATGGTTATCTGGCAAGTAGAGCTGAAAATGTACCCTGTTTGCCAGGGACTAGTGAAATCCCACCTACTCCCCACTGGTTGGGTTAAGTGGTACACAGGACTGGTACACAATGGGGATGCTCATTTGCCATGGTACGGTAGTTACCACTTCTTACACCTTCCCTAAATGAAAAGAATACCAGAATTTTAATTATATTATTGGTTATTCTGGAAGGCATATGCTGTTTGGTTCTGCAGGATGTGTTTTTGTTTACTTGGTTTAATTTCTGGAGTTTTGGCTGCTGGGGAGTTTTCATCCTGCTTTTTATTTTGTTTTTATTAATATATTGGTGACAAATAGCCAATAATTTGTTCAATTCTAAAAATATATTAGAATAGGTGCATGCATGAGGAAACCAACATAAACACTAAAGGCAAGATGCTCAAATTTATAATAAAGAAGACTAGGAATACGCCAAAAGCAGGAAGCCAGCAAGAGAGTCAGTGGGTCCTTCAGATGACGTAAGCAGGGACACAGAAGGATGATACACACGTTGTGCACTGCTTACAGCACAAATACTACTGAAGCTGGAGGAGGCTTAAGGAAATGATGGAGAGTGTAGCAGGAGGTGGGTGTCTGTTTCTGTTCTCCAGGAGTTGGTACTGGGTCCAGTCTTGTTTAACATCTTTAGCACTTCTCAGAGATGGTCAGAATCTTATTTTCAGAAGAGGTAGTATCGGAAGATTTGACAAGAAATTAGACATATTAATGGATGGGTACCCTACAAACAGAAGGCCTAGGAGGAGACTCTCTAGTACAAAAAATAATTGTGTTTTCTGGGAGGCTAAAAGGAGAATGAACTGCAGGAGGCAGCCAGGGATAAACACTGCTCCTAAGTAGTGTCTCTCCTTCTTATTTACAAACACAGTGAGAGATCTTGGATTTGGGGTACCTCCAGCCCAATCAATCCTCCTTTATATTTTCAAATCACATTTATGAAGAAGTAGTTATATGTAAATTCCCACAGATCCAGGACTCATTTCCACATCTATATGATACAGTATCGCATAAAAATCCTGTCTGCAGCAATAAAGGGTACGTACACTCATGCAAAAAAACACAAATATTGAAGAACACTTATTATTTCTGTCTCAGTTGTACACAGGGAAAGAGGGTACTACATGTCACTGTATGTCTAGAAGAGTAAATTTTATAAATCTATTGCATGTGGCATTATTAAAAAAAAATGTATTACAAAAATGCAAAAGTTTAAAAAGATTTTTAAAAAGCTTAAAATAAACAAGAAGGGGCTATTTTTGCTGTTTTTAAGTAACAGCCATGACTAGAAGGAGAATTTCACTAGCCAAAAGTCAAAAGAGCTTCCTACTTCTAAACTGCTGATGAAAATACAAAATCTCAAAATAAAACAGTGGAAGTTAAGGGACTGACTCTGTCATTCAAATCAGTAAGAGTTCTTCCATTCACTTGACCAGGAGTAGTCAAATAGTCAACCACTTGAGAACTTCTGTTATCAATTACTTGAAACAAATGGGCATTTCCCAAAGTCAGGAAGAACTTACTGTCAAAGAAATCCTTGCAAGAAGTGTGTGTCATAGCTGCTGTGGTGAATGGTACTGATCTGCACAGCATCACAAAACCTCCCAGTGCTGCCACAGAGGAGGCAAACTGGCTTTGTACTGGGAGCTGCTCCTCATTTTCTGAGAAAGGGCTTATTTTGAAGTGCTGTTAGCTTGAAATTTTTAGCAGGTCACTTGAAGAAGAGCTGGTGCGCATTTAAGTATCCCATGCATCTACTGACTGATAGTGGGTTAGCTTTAATGAGAATATTAAAACAGACCTTGAATTTGAAAACTTAAGCTAGGAACATAGAGAAACAGGTCTAGTCTTTTCTGCCACTTCCGAACAATGTTTTTAGCATTGGTAGATTATACAAGAGAGCCTGACACCAAGAGGGTGTCAGATACAGTTTCAGGGGACTGTCGTATCCTTCTTCACATCATTAATGATTTAAGCAGTGTGCACGGTCAGAAAGCAGAAGCTTGGACTGCTTTCTTTATTAGTGCAGAAAACAGAAACATGGACCTCTCTGCTTTGCCAAACAACAACCATCCTGATAAATTCCTACAGCTGGAGGTGAAGTCTGTAGTGAAAAACTCAACCTTTCTACAGGCCAGACTGGCAAAGTTCCCAGAAGCAGCTTTACCTGGAGTGCAACAGTGGCACAATAGGATCTATTTACAGGTAAGGTCTGACAGAGGCAGACTCTTTTCCTGACTTTTCTATCTTATTTTGGGAATCTGAAGGCAAATGATATGAGCTCAGTATTTCAGCAGTGAATTCAGTTTCCCACATCTCCGAATCTGCACCACTAATATAACCTCCAGGAGCTTTCCCTTTGATTTCAGTGAGGTTTGGGCTCCAGAAGGGCAGTCACTCTCCTCAGCAACAGCACAGTCCACCTCATTTGCTTCAGTACATTATGTTTTCTATTGCTTGTGGTGACATTTTCATAGCACTTCCCAGAAAGCAGACTTATGTCAAATATGGATTAATTGTACTGAGGAGGCTAATAGAACACCCTCTCTAAAGAAATTACAAGTGAGAGAAAGAAGGGAAAAGAATAACAAAGGAGGAAAAAAAAAAGCCAACACTGGACTTAAATGTGAAATCCAGGTGACAACACTCAATAAAAGGCACATTAGAGAGAACACCAGAGATTCTTGCTAGCGTCCTGCTAGCTTGTGCATGTCTGTGTATTTTGCTGTGTCTTCTTTACTTTGTCTTGTTTTTTGTCTTTCCTCTTTGACCTTGCTGTCACCCTGACAGATGTCTGTCGAAGGCGTGAAAGGCAATGACAGCATTAATGCAGGTTATTATGTGGAGGTAGCAGTGTTTTCATGGAAAAATGCAGAAGTGCACTGTCTAACAGATGCCTGGAGCCCACAGAGGAGACATTTGTATCTGGATCAGCAGCAGTACAGCTGCATCAGCTCACACCCCTCTGGGCCCCACTTACAGCTCACACCACAGCACTCCTTTCCGGCTGCCTGGGGAGCCCCTTGCCTTTCCCCACCCCTAGCCTGAGAAAAGCTTCAAGGTCTGGTTCTTGTCAGGGGACGGAGACACGCGGAGGTGGCTGGGGGCTGGA